ATGCCATAACAGTTTAAGTTGTTGCAATAAATAAGATTGTATAATGTTAATCACATAATTTATGTGTAAGTTTATTATTGTATTATTTTCTTTAATGATATAGAATGTACTGTTCGTTTTAGGTTCAACAGTTTATTTACATGTACTATTACTTAAGCTTTCTCCTATTTTGACATTAAAAAGTTGCATTTTTGTCTTAACGTAATAAAAATATTTTTATTCAACATTCACCATCAGCGCATTCTGAATGTCGACATTTGCAGGTGTAAGTGAGAAATAACGATATTTAGCAAATATTTCGGACATACACAAAACGACTGTGTGAATGTTGACATTCGCCAGATTTCGGTCATTCACAGTAACATATATAGTATTTAATTTCTTATTATAACTAGCAGATAAGCCCAGCATTGCTTGTGCAAAATAACAGCAAAGATTAAGATTATTAGATTTTTTCATACTTCTAACCCTTCTACTATATTATATTACAGTATTTGATTTATATTTACAAAGGTTATCTTATGCAAGAGTTTATCACACAAAATGCCCAATCTAACAAATTTTAAAAATTCTTTAAATTGTGTACAATAGAGGAATAAAGAATTTTAAAATGTATTAGATGAGCACTTGTGTGTGATAAACCCTTACATAAGATAACCTTCATAATTATAAATCAAATACTATAACTTTTATAATTATACAAGAATTTAATACTTTTATCTTTTTAATTATTGATACAAATATGACTAGAAATTATTCTATGTTGAAAAATGTTTAAAACTAATTAAGTTATATTTTGAGATTTTAAAATGTCATAAGATATTTCAAACAGAAAAATTTATTATTACTTATTATTTTATAACAAATTCATCATTAAATAAGTTTTGTTGTGTCGAAATTTGATGATTTCAAATTAAAATGATGTTACATTTGAATAAATTGATAAATCATAATGTAGTATTTTTTCTAATAGAAAAAAATGAACATTCATTATACAATTTTTACAATGTTTTTTTAATTTCTTAAAAACATTTACACAACAATATATCAATTAATCTTAATCACACAATACTCTGCATATATTCCAAATCATTATGTACAGTCCTTATTCATTGCTAATCACATGCAACCTTTTAAATAAAATACTTCCATAAATAGAACCACATGCACACACTAACAAAATACAGAATCTGCTTACAAATTTCTTTTTTTTATTAATACAAGATGATTCTAGAAGAACCAATCTCTTGTAATTTAAAGAGTTGCTTTGACTAACTACAGAATTATTTATAGGAAAAAATTGTATTTACACTTGATAAAATTACTAATTTTATATTTCTAAAAACTATTTCAAGTAGAAAAATGATTTTTAACTGGTTTATTTGTAATGTTAAAATTTTTGCATTATTATGTAGATTTGCAGTTGAAAGTGCTATTTTGACTAGAGAAACAGAATGAATTCCTTAATGATTTAACAACTGGAATTATGAGTTTAGTTCTCTAAGAAACATCTTGCATCTGTAAATATTTCCTAAAATAGAAAACTACAACAAATAAATACATATTTTACAATCTATAATACAAAAACCTATAGTTTAGTTAGTGTCATAAATGTATGAATTATATACAACAATGAATACCAAAACGAGAACAATTATGTGAATTAACATAAAATGTTCATACAGACATTTATACTTGGTATTTATTTTTTTTTATAACCTTTTCATCCATTATGCTGTTTATTAAGTTTGAGTTAAGAAAAATACAGAGATACTGATAGAAGATATACAATTTTCTTCCAAAGACAATATAGATAAATGCATCACAATCACTGTTTAAATGCATACATACAAATAAAATATTTTATCAATTATACATTTGTAAATATTTCTGTACAATTATAAATTAAATATCTTATAAATATAACATTATATATATATATATAAACAAATCACTAAAAATAGAAGAAAGAATTTTAAGTATCAATTACACAACTGGTCAATAAAAAAAATTTAAATATATTATAAATAAAATGTGTTATTTTAAACCGTATTGAGATATGAAATTCTTATTCTTAAATAAATGATACTGCTTAATTTTTTTTGAATTGATAGAAATTTATTATTGATAAAAGTAAATTAGTTTCCTTCCTTTGCCAAATCATTCAGAAAGATGGTTAAACCATCAAGGCACAATCATCATATTTCTCAAAGAGATTTACAATATTTTTTTCTTTTTAATTTTCTCAACATTCTATTCCTATACTTATATTAATTAATTTTTGTTTTTCTTATAATCTACACATATTACATAAACTACAAAAGATTAGAAGCTAAATTTACAATATATTTCCTCCTATATGTAATTTTCAAATCTTTGAAAATGGTATATAAAGTGACTATATTTTACATGGAAAAAATGCTGGATGTGATAATGGGAAAATTAACTTTTGATTTTGTTGGTACAGATAACCATGTTAAAAACATGTAAATGTTTTTGTACTAAAAAGAAAATAACTTAATTTTTTTAAATATTTGTGAGTTTATTTAAATAAAAACTAGATAGTATTGTAAGCATAGATATATCCTTGACTCTGAAGAACGTAGAGTCGTTTTTCAACTGCCATTTTATCTATTAAAAACAATATTCGTGTAAATTAATTATACATTGTAAACTTACAGAAATTTTGTACTTTATGAGAAGATTTAGAAACTTACATTTTCCTAAGAGCTTTTTATCATTTTCATAGATTACTTGTTGGGCGAGGCTATGTAATAGTATCTGGGCTGTTTGATAACGACGAAAACACTAGAATAAGAAAACATATTGAATACGTTTAGAATAAAAAGTAGTAATAAAAAAATCAAAAATTTATTTACTTCTTCTGGATTTCCGAAAAGTTCTTCAAGTGCTGCGGACTGACACTAGATAAAAATAAATAATGATTGTTGTTTATTTTTGATTACTAAATTAGATTTATTGCCATTATTATTTTGTTATAACATATCAATTTTTAATTTTATTTTTGTGACAAAATTATGATCAAATACTNATTCATCATTAAATAAGTTTTGTTGTGTCGAAATTTGATGATTTCAAATTAAAATGATGTTACATTTGAATAAATTGATAAATCATAATGTAGTATTTTTTCTAATAGAAAAAAATGAACATTCATTATACAATTTTTACAATGTTTTTTTAATTTCTTAAAAACATTTACACAACAATATATCAATTAATCTTAATCACACAATACTCTGCATATATTCCAAATCATTATGTACAGTCCTTATTCATTGCTAATCACATGCAACCTTTTAAATAAAATACTTCCATAAATAGAACCACATGCACACACTAACAAAATACAGAATCTGCTTACAAATTTCTTTTTTTTATTAATACAAGATGATTCTAGAAGAACCAATCTCTTGTAATTTAAAGAGTTGCTTTGACTAACTACAGAATTATTTATAGGAAAAAATTGTATTTACACTTGATAAAATTACTAATTTTATATTTCTAAAAACTATTTCAAGTAGAAAAATGATTTTTAACTGGTTTATTTGTAATGTTAAAATTTTTGCATTATTATGTAGATTTGCAGTTGAAAGTGCTATTTTGACTAGAGAAACAGAATGAATTCCTTAATGATTTAACAACTGGAATTATGAGTTTAGTTCTCTAAGAAACATCTTGCATCTGTAAATATTTCCTAAAATAGAAAACTACAACAAATAAATACATATTTTACAATCTATAATACAAAAACCTATAGTTTAGTTAGTGTCATAAATGTATGAATTATATACAACAATGAATACCAAAACGAGAACAATTATGTGAATTAACATAAAATGTTCATACAGACATTTATACTTGGTATTTATTTTTTTTTATAACCTTTTCATCCATTATGCTGTTTATTAAGTTTGAGTTAAGAAAAATACAGAGATACTGATAGAAGATATACAATTTTCTTCCAAAGACAATATAGATAAATGCATCACAATCACTGTTTAAATGCATACATACAAATAAAATATTTTATCAATTATACATTTGTAAATATTTCTGTACAATTATAAATTAAATATCTTATAAATATAACATTATATATATATATATAAACAAATCACTAAAAATAGAAGAAAGAATTTTAAGTATCAATTACACAACTGGTCAATAAAAAAAATTTAAATATATTATAAATAAAATGTGTTATTTTAAACCGTATTGAGATATGAAATTCTTATTCTTAAATAAATGATACTGCTTAATTTTTTTTGAATTGATAGAAATTTATTATTGATAAAAGTAAATTAGTTTCCTTCCTTTGCCAAATCATTCAGAAAGATGGTTAAACCATCAAGGCACAATCATCATATTTCTCAAAGAGATTTACAATATTTTTTTCTTTTTAATTTTCTCAACATTCTATTCCTATACTTATATTAATTAATTTTTGTTTTTCTTATAATCTACACATATTACATAAACTACAAAAGATTAGAAGCTAAATTTACAATATATTTCCTCCTATATGTAATTTTCAAATCTTTGAAAATGGTATATAAAGTGACTATATTTTACATGGAAAAAATGCTGGATGTGATAATGGGAAAATAAACTTTTGATTTTGTTGGTACAGATAACCATGTTAAAAACATGTAAATGTTTTTGTACTAAAAAGAAAATAACTTAATTTTTTTAAATATTTGTGAGTTTATTTAAATAAAAACTAGATAGTATTGTAAGCATAGATATATCCTTGACTCTGAAGAACGTAGAGTCGTTTTTCAACTGCCATTTTATCTATTAAAAACAATATTCGTGTAAATTAATTATACATTGTAAACTTACAGAAATTTTGTACTTTATGAGAAGATTTAGAAACTTACATTTTCCTAAGAGCTTTTTATCATTTTCATAGATTACTTGTTGGGCGAGGCTATGTAATAGTATCTGGGCTGTTTGATAACGACGAAAACACTAGAATAAGAAAACATATTGAATACGTTTAGAATAAAAAGTAGTAATAAAAAAATCAAAAATTTATTTACTTCTTCTGGATTTCCGAAAAGTTCTTCAAGTGCTGCGGACTGACACTAGATAAAAATAAATAATGATTGTTGTTTATTTTTGATTACTAAATTAGATTTATTGCCATTATTATTTTGTTATAACATATCAATTTTTAATTTTATTTTTGTGACAAAATTATGATCAAATACTAATATATAATAAATATATATATATATATATATATTTCTTGCAAATTTTATAAACACGATAAAACATCAAAACAAAAGTCTGTCTGTAATATAATTTACTATTTGGCGAATTATATTATGTCAGTGAACTGAATTNGTCCCCGTTACGTGTCTGCTTGCACAGAAGCATGTCGCGATGTGAATCTCCCCATCCAATTTTTACACGATGACACACATTTCGTGTTTTATGTGAGCAGTTCTGTTCGAACAGTTGGAGTAGAGAATATTGTAAGTTACTGCTAGCAAAACAATGCGAAATATGTAATTATTTTCGGTAATCCGGACACTTTTGGTAATCTGACACACCTTTGGTCCCATACCTGTCAGATTATCAAGGGACAACTGTACTTTTTTATTTTTTCTACATTCTTTATATTTTATCATCAGTTTTTGTGTTGTTTTTGTATTCGTATTAGATTGGAATTACAGATATATCCTGACTTGTCTTATGTTTGTTTTATGATGAAATTGGACTTTGTCAGTCTGATCTTAGTACTATATTTTTGCAGACCATGAAATCAGATATTTCCACATGGTAAAAAATGGTATGCTGGTTTACATGAGATTATACATCCCCTCTAGAGGGTGCACACAAAAAAATGAAGGAGTTTTTATTCTAAAACTGAAATTAGCAGCATTACATCAAAAACTATTGATACAATATATGTTTAATTTCTTTGTTTTGTATTCTTTCCAAGGACATAAAAAGCACTTTCAGAATTCAACAAGTATTTTATGTGTATTCTATTGCCAATTTTTAATAATAAATAATAATAGATTTTATTTGCAGCTTACAAAAGCAGATTAAAGACTCAATCGTTCATTTTTTGTAGGAAGCAAACTAACTTGTTTTGAGATTGTGATTGCCTTTGTATTTTTTACTTACTTGAAATGCCAAAATGTTTCAAGCAGACAAAAATAACTGAAACACCATATAAATATGGGCTTTAAAATATTACAAATGGCAGAAGATTATGTAAAATAGCATTTGTTATTTTTGGACTGCAATTTGAAAAAAACGTAGACCTATAAATTCCCACTGTTGTCCATCTATCTGTCTTTCTTTAATCTTGAATAGAATTAGATAGATGAAAGACGAGACCAGATTTGGAAATATTAGGGACAGGTAGCCCCTATTAACTATATATTAGGGGCAGTCAAATGAAAACGAGACAGACTCTATAACAAGTGTGGCACGGAAGTTGGTAATGCAGGTAGGTGTGTATGTAGAAGTGCCCTCTATTGGGAATCAGGAAGGAATAGCGAGAATGTTCACTGCTGTGCCATTTGTCTGTTAGGCATGCTCAAAGTGAGGTTAGTGAGTCATGTGTGTGTCCAACATCACTATGGAGGTCCGCTGCTTGTTGACTTTCTGGAACACGGCGCCACAATTAACACACAGCGGTACATAGAAACTTTGCAAAAATTGAAGTGTGCCATCAAATCCAAACATCCAGGAATGTTGACAGACAGCATCATTCTGTTTCAGGATAATGCCCACCCACATTTTACCAAAGTTGTTTTGACTATGCTGCAGAAGTTTCACTGGGAACTTCTGCAGCATAGTCCATACATATCCTCCATACAGTTTTGATTTCTCCCCATGTGATTTCCATATTTTTGAAGCCCCAAAGAAAGACATTCGTGGCTGTCAATTTGCTTTGGACGAAAAGGTGCACGCCTGGGTACAATCATGGGTCTGTAGGCACAAACATTTTTCTATGAAGGCATTGACCATCTTGTCTCACAGTGGGATAAATGTATTAACAGTTATGGCAATTACTTTTGAAATAATAAACAGTTTACATACTTTTTTCCCATCTGTCTCGTTTTCATTTGACTGCCCCTAATACAAACTTTCAATGCAAACCAAAAGTCACATTATTTCAATTAAAAAAATTTATCCTAAAAGGTGTTAATGACTAGCATGAATATTGTTAAAGGAAAAGTATAATGCACAGGGGCAAGCCACTACTAATTTGAGATAGAGATCCTATAAATTAAATAAATTAAAAATAAAACTGCAGCCTGGCATTGTGATGATGTCACAATAAATAATTGCTCATTGTTTTTAGGTCAATTCAAACTCCATCTTCAATGAGGTTTATGCTCTGGCATTGTGATGATGTCACAATAAATAATCGCTTGTACCAATATATTTTGCAATATAGAAACACCTTGAATTATTTTATTAATATAAACTTACAAAAACATTTGAAACCAGAGGTAGGTTTTATGTTTTCTAAATAATAGTTAATAAAAAATAATGCAGATATGCAAATTGGACTGCACTTAAATGGAATATGGAATATAAAGATGTGGACATTTGAAGTGTTTGTTGCTGACAAACACTTCAAAATACCAAGTAAAAAATTAATTAGTGCAGATTATGTAAAATTATTAAAAAGAGAAAATGACAAAAGTTTGGGGAATATAGCAAAACAACTACACCTAGCCAAGTCTACAGTACAACATGTAATCAACCACATAATGAAAATGGTAGAATTTGCCCAAAGAAATTGACTCGACAAAAATAGTTGTTGGCAAAACACATCTGCAAAGATACATTGTGAAAAAACAAATTGCTGCATCACTAGATCTAGTTGTTTGGGCCAAAGAACACCTAAATAAATCTGACTAAACATATAATGAAAAGATATGTCCAAAGATTAAAGTATGGTTTTTATAAAGCTAAGAAAAAAAAATTTTCCTAATGAATCTCAATGGGCTCATTAGATGAAAAAGTGGACCATTTGTAACTGGGAATGTATATTATGGCACAATGAATCTTCATTTTGAATTTTTTTGGGGAAAATAGATCCCAGAGTCATCCACATAAAAGATGAGGCAAACAATTCAGTGCTTCATCTACACAACTCAAAAACCATCTTCTGTAAGTATGTGGTCAACATCTGGAGTTGGTAGTTTACATTTTTATGAAGGCATCATTACAGCATCAAGATATATTGTAATTTTGGAGGAGCATTTGCAATCATCACAACAAAAATTGTATTGTTGAAATTGCCATCCATGATTACAAGACAATACCAAGTACCACACAGCAAAGCTGACAACAACCCAATGGTTCCAAACCAAACAGATCAAACTATTTCCACGACTTGCTAGGAACTCTGCTGGATATTTTTGATGGCACTAAGAACATTGTGTGAAGTACTGACTCCAGAAACAGCTGTCAGCAATGAGTCTTTGAAGGAATATTTAAGACAGGACTGGGACAAATTTCCTCTTACTGTTACCAAAAAAATAAGTCAATATGTTACCCCAAAGAATTGTGAAAATTATTAAGCATTGCTTCAATGCAACTAAATATTAAATACAAAAATAATTTCACGTGTACAGAAAGTTTTGTCCGCCATCAGGCCACCTATTAAAGATTTCGTTTTCCCCAGTTTTCTAAGCTGTAAAAGATATGTAAATAGAAACTATAAAAATACAAGTGCCCAGATAGGATTTTAAACAATTATAAAGCCAATATCTACATAGTATTTTGATTATTTTTGTCCGTACAAAACATTTTGACATTGCCTTTTATTAGCAGTTTGACAAAATAATCTTTTAAAGAAGACTTAAGTCTAAAAAATGTTATAAGTAATCAGTTTAAAGACCCTATTATTTTTATTTGGCATTTTATTAAGAATCAAATTTGATAAATTTTAGAGATATTTTTCTTGACAGATTTCTACTTTAAACATTAGCTTTTCTACATAATGAAATAATAATTTAACATTAGGTATAATTAAGAAAACAAACCTACCATGTCAATGGCATAATTATAAATAAGACGATCAGCACTGATATTTGATGATGTTGGATCTACTCCAGACGCATGAAGTATACTTTGTGTATTTAAAGATTTGCACATTGTTAAACAATGATGGAAATGCTCTTTCAAGATTTGCAAGACTGAAAAGAGAGAGTTTTTATTTATTTAAAAAAAATCATTTGCTATACTTTAAATAATTAAGAGTATCAATTAACCAATAAAATAAAACAAAGATGACTTTGAAGAATACCAATTCCAAACATTATGGAGTTTTCACATAATGATTGTCAGTGATCTTCCATAGGCTCACTATTGAACTATTTCTTTAACAATATTTGTGCTAGGGTTTATTTATTACAGTACAAATAGAAAAGCATGATTAATGACTCAATGGTTTATAACATATCATTGACACGATTAAAAATGTTTGATTGCATTTCTAAACTTTCATGATGATCAAGTGAGCCATCAATTTAGCAAAGTTCAAATTGAAAAACTACCTAAAACAAACTAAAATAAGTACTAAAAACTTTTAATTAAGAACTGTACTTTTATTTAATATTAATTTTACTATACATAGAAAATGTTTGTTTTTGACAATTTTTTCATTATTTCTTATCATTCATATGTATTCTTCATACCTTAACCCAGGGGTGGCCAAAACGTGGCGCATTGGACGATTACAAGTGGCGCTTCAGTTAGTTCTAAGCAAAATTGCCAGATTTGGCTTTTTTGCGATTAAGAATATTATATAGAAAAATAAATTTTTTATAGTCTGTCTTGGCAAGTTCATTTGTTGCACAATTCGTTACGGTCTATTTTGCATATAAAATGCGTGTTCTCCACATAGTAAATTACAATGTATGCATGTATTTTGAGTCTTGCGATCTTTATTTCCGATCAGTTTACAGGCGTGTAAATGGCCGAAAACATTTATTGTGATTAAAGTTATTCCAAGCTGATATCGTTCTCAGTGCCAATAATTGTGGTGCAGAGTAATCTTCACCAAACGAGACTCTGGCAGCAATAGCACCATCATGAAGCAATCACCCTCTCGTACAGGAGATCATTGTTGACTATTGTAAATTGGTGCTTCAATAAACTGTCAAAAATTAATTAATTCAACTGCGTGATTAAGTTATTCCCTTTTCTTTCCTAAGCGAAGCAGATTTATTCTTATCGCTATTTATCAACCCCTAACATTGAACGTAAGACTGTATAAAAAGTGTTCGAGTTATATGGCGCATTTGAACTCGTCTGTCAAAAAATTGGCGCATGGTATGCAAAAGGTTGGCCACCCCTGCCTTAACCCTTTTCTTGTTATTGTACTAAAACTAAAAATTAAATAAATTAATAATTTTACTTTATACAAGATATATTTTTATTCTTTCCATACTAAGTGTGATCGAAGGTGTCCTGATCTGATTATTTCAGATAATTAAAACACACTACTGTAATAGGAATTTACAATAACTAAATCATTCTATTGTTTACTTTTGTGGCAATTTTTCTTAAAATAAAAATATGTATAAATTTTTCAGCAAAACATAATTACTGAAATATATAATAATTTTGTGTGCTTATAAACTTTAATTGTCCATCTTGTTACCTGGCCCAGTTTATGTTTGTTATGGATCAAGTGGTTAACAATAAAAACATTCATATTCAACTGCTTCATCATTTCTTTGACTAGGAGGATTTTCTTTGGGGATCACGTTTTCAAGCTTTGCTCAGCACATGGATCATTTATTTTCTTTTGGTAGTTTTTCAATAGTGTAAATGGTCTGTGACAATATGCTAAAACAGTGACTAACTCCACTGATTATATTACCTACCTCTTTGAAGTGTGTTCTTGGTCTCCCTAATAATTAGATCATTTTTGGAGAAGTTCAAAACATGTTCTTCTAAATCCACAATATTAATATGGAACTTATTTTCACAATTTATAAATGTGAATATCCTACCCTCTATTTCTGTTCAAATATATATAGAAAAAAATTTGTGCCAAAAATCTACTCCACTGGTGAATATTTACTGGTAGCTCAAAGTCACTGAAGTTTTATAGATTCCAAATAGTAAGGATGAGCATAGGGCAATCACAAGCTTGAACCACAATGTATCCATTTTAGTACAACAGTTTGTAAAACTATAGTTGGTCATTTCAATAAATAAACGATTAAATTAATCACAGATTAGTTACATTACATTCCCACAAAATTAATTTCTGTCATGACTCATGATCATTATTTTGCTGACATCATCAAGTCTTGCTGCAAATGCTTTTCCCTGTTTCTAGTTGAGGCTGACTCAATGGCTCATACTGCTTACATCAGCACCTATTGGCTATTTGGCTTGTATGGTTTTTTGATACAATAAGCTCCAACACTGGCCGGATTTGCTGGCACCTGTGTCCTCCTAGAACAGAAGCTAGATAAGGAGTTGCTATCACTAGCATGCAGGCATCATGTAATGGAGCTGATCATTGGTGCAATGTTTGAAGTCTTACAAGATCCACATCACTGGAAGTTCCACTCTTTAAGGATTTCAACATCATTGGCAGTTAACTGATCAACAGAAATATGAGACAGGATTTACAAATAGCACAGTATCAAGATCAGTGCAAGACATCAAAGATGGTGTTGTTGAGTTTGCAAACAACTATCTGGAAAACAGTCAGCCAAGAGATGACTATAGAGAATTCACTGAACTTGTTATTATCTTTCTTGGTTCAATCCCACAGAGGGTGATCTGATTTATGGCACTTGGAATCATGCATCATGCATGCTGGCTCTCAAAGATAATTTACTGTTTGAAGGTGTGGATGTTTAGGGTCCAGTTCCACTTAACAAAATAAGAAGAGAAGGTACTACAGGATGTGTGTGTCTTTGTTGCACATATGTACTTGAAAGCCTGGATTTCAGCTCCTTTGGCAGCCAGTGCTCCTAAAAATGACCTTCAACTTCTGAAATCACTTTTTGAATACTTGGCAATCAACATGACAATATCCAAGGCAGCATCTCTCAAATTTTATAAACACTTATGGTATTTGTCGCCAGATTTGGTCGCTTTAGCTTTTTTCAACAACCATGTAAGTTCTGCTACAAAGAGGCTAATGATTACAGCAATACAAAATTATGACAACACTGAACAGGGTCACACTAAGCGAATCAGTGTTGACTGGACACATTCATGAGAAAAAATCTTGAGTATTTTATATATGCAAAGTCACAGACTTTGTTTGAATTAATAGAACTTCCAGATACATTTCTCACTGCAGATCCTGACCTGTGGAAAGATAGAGAGGACTACCAAAAGGCTGTAGAGTCAGTACATGCCATTAAAGTTGTTAATGATCATGCAGAATGCATGGTCACACTCATCTAGGAATTCAGTGGTCTAAAGACTCAAGATGAATTACAACTTCAGTATTTGCTGCAAGTTGTCAACAGCACTGCCAAGCTTATCCAGACAGCAAAAAAGAGAAACACTCTGCCTCTACCAAAATAAATAGATAAAGTTGCATTGAACATTGTATTGAAAATTTCCAATTTTATGAATTGTGATGTTTAAAAATTTTTTCGTTGCATTTTTGGTTTGTAATCCATCAAGTTTTTGAATATTGTAGAGTCTACATGACTATTTAATTTGTCTAATTGTTCAAAAAAGTGAAACAAGTCTGGTTTACCAAAACAGGTCTTGTATGTTTACATTTGTCATAAATTGCTCATTTTATAAACTTTGTGATCATTAAGCTACCTTTAAATATTAATATATCAACTTCAAATTTCTTCTGTAATAATTTGAGACCAGTTGAAATAGTTCTGGAAGGTAGGACCACAAAAAAGTAAGCAATTTATTTTTTTCCTATTTTAAGCAACACACTAATCCATATTAACTTTTGGACCCATGTTTTTTCTGAGAAGTCTAGTAAATACTTGAGGATTATTTTATAACTATATTTAAATTTTTGAACTTCAGTTACAAGCACAAGCATAGTGCCACTTGGTGGAGCAGAGGTTTTATCTTAGAGTTGTGATATGAGGCAACAAAAAGCTCATGACTTGTTTCTAAAGTCACAGTTTATATTCACATATTCTGTACATACACATAATTAGCTCAAAACTATTCTTAATGCTGTAATCAATGATGTCAAAAATTATTAAATTAGTTTTTGAATATGCAGAATATAGCCACAAACATTGAACAAGATTTTATCTCATTTCTGCTACATAACAACTAAATCCATTTGTATTAGAATAAAGGTAATTGTTAGTAAGCTTTCATTAGTTTGAACACCATGCATCCCAAACAGCTTGCAAAAGGCAAACATGGCCATGAGTGCACAAAGCCATGCAGAGAAGCTTCAAAGAGTTTTACACTTGTATTTTGATGGTGTCCAGCTGCTTCTCCTTTGAGTATTTTAACATTTTCACTACCAGTATAAAAATCAATTTTCCTACCAATATGCTGAAAAATTATTTTCATTCACTATCAATTTACCTATATGCCATGCCAGTGCAACTGCACTTAGTTATTATGTAGCAGAAGCAAGAAAATATAGTTCAATGTTTGTATCTATACCCTGTACAAAAACTCCTGAAGATACTTGGGCTATTCATACCATTGTATAAAGACCTTTAAGTTAGAGAACGTTCACAATGCTTTACGTAAGGATAACATACAGGATTATGATTACTGTTAAAAATAAGCTTATAAAAAGAGACTCAGAAATGTATTTCATGGATGTGAATGAACTTTTGCATATTCTGGGTCACTAAAAAAGCCCTAGGTTCCACTTCTATGTTTTATTCTAAAAAGGTGTGATTTTAGGTCATGAAAACAGATTGCTTTTGGACCCAAGAAATCAGTAGATATTGAAATAACAAGTAATTTTCATGTATATATATTACATCCAATGTTTGATAGTAATGCATCTGAGAGTGATCAGTCTAATACTTATAATCCTGCATTGTAATTAAACTACATTAATCAGAGTATATATTAATTAAATTATATTAAAAAGTAACTTTTAATAAATTTATATAAAATATACTAATTTAATTATTATATAAACATACCATTTTTAACTGATGTTGATGGCTGCAGACGACCTGCATGAACCTCTTCCCTCGATAATTGCAGGGAAGAGGACAGCAAATGAAGGGCTCGCATATACAAAACTAATTGTTCTGCCCGTCTGCAGCCTTCACTAATAATGGAGAACTGTTCTAATAAAATCTGAAAATAACAAAGAAAATTAATCTTTAAAATCTGAATGTCACTTTCTTTTTTTAAGATAAGATATTCACTACTTTGCTGAAGAACAATATAAATAATTAAAAGTTGTATATATATATTTTTTAATTCCATTATTTAAAATGAATTATATGTTCTTGTTTATTTTATGCTAATAATTATTATTTTATTATAATTTTTAATTTACCTAAATTTACTGTTCATTTAATCAATACAGAAAGAATTGTTCAAACTTCCATGGATTATCATTTTAAGTATTAAACAAGCAAGTATACAATGTTCTTACAGAAAAAATATGTTGATTATTTAAAATAGCTAGTTATTATTATTATGGTATATTACTGAGGAGTTTTTTTTATTGCACAACAGCTATTATAATAATTTTTATGTTGGAAAAAAATGACAAAGCATATATTTTTAATGAAGTGTTAATTTAAAATATACTCATTTGAAACTATGAGAAAATTTCACTCAAACTTCAACAAAATCAATAATATAAAAATTTCTGAAGAGACTTAATTATTTCAAAATAACTACATAAATTTCTCAAACAATTTTTGAATGAATTTGATCTATAATGAATACCATTACATTCTTTCTGAAATCAAGTGTGAATTAGTATAATGAATTTCATCATTGTATAATATATTGTATTCATGAACATTAAAATAACATATTATGATTTTCTCTAAGAAATATTAGATTTTAGTGTAAAAAAATAAGTCATCATTATAGTGGAGTGTATATACACAGTATATATACACTTCTGTCCAGTGCTATACTGAACCAAAGTCAAGGCATAATTACAGAAAAAACAAATGTTTTGTTTACATGCTGTTTGTTTATATATCTGTTTAAGAATTTCCTGATTATGTGATATGTACAGTATTTAGAACAGCAGCCCATTGTAATGTGATATATGTATTGTTGTGAAGCCCTAATGTTCCAAGACTTTTGTGTAGTATATGTGGTATGATACCTGTGAAGAAAGAACTACTGACAGAATAAGTACCTCATCCATTCTTCACAGATGTTTTATTTGTGGCTGTTTTGAGTATTTATTTATTTATTTATTTTCAGTTTTTGTTGTAGGTATTTTGCACAACTATATCTAAGACATTGTGTGAGTTGTCTGAGTTAGCATGGTTCCTGGGTGTGTATAGTGATTTGTGTTGTTATTCTTGTAATTATTAGTAATCGTAAACAAAAATGATTTTATGATTTTAAAATATTTTGAGCATCTTTTCGTATTTTTATAAGTTTCATATTACTACACACATGAAAATTTGAGGAATTTTATACAATTAACCTGTATAAAATTCCTCAAATTTTATAATTACAATTCAAATATTACAATTTATGTAATTAAATCTTTTTAGCAATCCATCTGGAATAAAAATAAACTCAGCTGAATTATACATCAGCTTATTTTTATAGACTATACTTAATTTAATCAATTCTAGCCATAATATAGTAATAATAAATTTTATATCATAATTACTTGTATATATTTAAATTGATGTACAACATAAAAATATCCATAAAAAAACATCAATTCAAAATGGAACAATCTTCTTTTAGACATTTTTTTACATTATTTACAGGTAATCATGGAATTTTAATATAGACTAAAAAAATTTTTTTAATGAACCAAACTGCTAGATTATTTTAACTTTATATTCACATTTGTTTCTATTAAACAGTCATATAAATTGTAAATATAAAAAAGAGAAATTAGGTTAACCTCTTTACGAACATAGGAGTCTGTGAGAGCCGAAATAGGAGTTGATCTAGAACGTGCCAAGTCTAAAATACAATCAACCAATGCAAGAACAAAATTTAATTTTGCTAATGTTTCATTATGTTCTTTCTGAAAAGATAATAAAAGAAAAGATGAATTATTTTCCAATTTTAACTTATATTGTACAATAGAAAGTATAAATTAAACCTAACTCAAGATGCATAACTCATTTTATTATAAAATAATGTAAGCAAATACTAAAATTAATAACTTAACCAAATTCATAATCTTTAATGAATTTTAATTTACAGGATTTAAGACAATACTGGAAATTCTTATTTCTACATTTCATTCTATTGATGTATACAAGTTAATTTCATTTAAGTTAACTACCCTGTACTTGTAAATACATCAGATTATAATTAAACTGACCCTACTCAGACCCCTCTAGAGTTCATTCGTATTGAAACTTGGTATATATGTTACATAGACCACGGGGAAGAGATTTCTGCAATAAAAAAACACCACCAGATGGCACTTATGCAAAGTAGGCAAACCTACTAAAAAGGACAGCATTCAAAGCCAGAAAAATCGTTCTACATGCCTTTACGTTATCATTAATCATGCCCTTACAGAAGAAAGACTGAGCTTTGCTAGTAAAACTGTTTTATCAGAATGGCAGCAATGGCTTAGCTACACTGCAAGAATATCAAGGTTTAAGAGGATTGCAAAAAGAGCCCATGTCAAAGAATGGTTTGAAAAACATGATTATAAAATTTGAATAGACTGGCGACTTGGGCATGCTGCAAGGAAGAGGGCTGAAAAGATTGTTAAATAAATTATCAAAGAAGTTGCTGTGGTTGACAGAGCCTCCAGTTCATAATATTCCTTAAAAAGTGCTTGAGCAGTGTCACAAGTTGCCCATCCCTTGACCGATAGTACAAAAAGTTCTGTGGTCCATTTTAAATGGTATCTGTATAAGATCCACATTGTGCAAAAGCTGTAACTGAAGACCTGCAAAAAATGCATCAATTTTGCTTTCTGAGTTTTGGCAAGAATGGCTGTTGATGATGCATGGCCTTGAAAAATTCTGTGATCAGGTGCACTTTTCATTAGATAAAGCAGTGAATAATCAGAACCATCACATATGGGGTTTTTCACAGCCCAACATTGTGCAGCAACAGTCACTGCATTCTGATTACGTGACTACATGATGTGGATTTACTTACTGATTTTATTCTTGGGCCATTTTTCTTTGAAAATCTCATTTCGGAAGGCCCTAAAAGATGCTCTGTCATGAGTGTGCTTTACTGTAAACTCTTTCAACTGCAAGTCATTCCTGCCTTACAGGAACGGCAATGCTTATAGTCTGATGTATTCATGCAGGATGGAGCAACTCCCCTCAGTGGATGACAAGTCAAGGAACTGCTTTGTTCAAACTTTGGTGAGGATCATGTAATATCCAGAGCTTTTCAGGATACCTGGCTTCCTCATTCACCAGACTTGAATCCCTGTGATTTCTTGTTGTGGAGATTCCTAAAAGATTGTGTTTTATGGATGATGGATTAGGACTGCCAGAATTAAAAGCTAGCATTACATACTATTTTGCTGAAATTCCTGGAGACTTTTTCTTCACATTAATGTTGAACAGGCTGTAATGTGCTTTGAATATGTAATTAATGTTAATGATAAAACACACACTGTGATTGAATAGTTTAATGTTTCTGATTTTTTTTTGTCCTTTTAGGTGATACAATTTCACCTGGTGGTCGAATTTTGAACTGTTAGTTTTTTACTGCAGAAATATCTTTCCCATGGTCTCTGGCTCTTAAGCTTTCCATATCTGGTCTTGATTTTAGTAGTCTTGCCCCTGTACATCATACTGGTCACTCTGAGAAATCAAGTGATTTCAATTCAAAATTTTCTGTTCCAGACCAAATGTTCATATATAGTTAATCAAGCTTCTGGCCCCTAACCTTCCATACCTGGTCTCGATTTTCATCTAACTAACTCCATTCTTGAGATTAACGAAGGACAAATAGATGACAGTGGGAATATATAGGTCTGCAGTTTGAAAATTTCATCCCAATAATCAAGATATAAATTTTCATGCTCTGATATTAATTTTACATTAAAAACAAAAAGTATATATTTCCAAAATTGAATATATATTATAAAAAAATTTCATTATTCTGAAATGCTAGATTTAAGTTGTGAACAAATTAATCTAGTTCAGCATTTCTTTATTTGGGATACACACGTCTAAGAGATATGCAGTAAGAAATTGGCTAATTTAAAGTTACCTTTGGCAGCCATCACAACTTTTTCAGTTTTATACCTAGATAATTCAAAATTTTCCATATCCATGTTTTTAAAAGCTACAAACTTCTAAAAATTTTTTTAGACTTTACAATATTTTATACAGTTATGAAGGTCTAGGTTTAATTATTTTAAACCAATTAATCTCACATCTGTATTACTAAAATAAGTGTTCAAATACTTTAATTTATTATTATTATTATTATTTTTTTTTTTTTTTCTTCAATTTAAATGGTGATCAAGCAATTGTTCAAAAGCTTTACCTTCTCAGTCCATTATTTCCCAAGCAAATAAACCCATATTACACTGGGCTGTATGAAATTTCTCATTTTCACAAAAGGGTTACATGAACTCGAAAAAGTTGGAAACTGCTAAACTAGTTCATTTCCAATTTCATTTAGCCACTGAATAAATTCAGATCACATAGCCTTTTATTAATTTAACCAAATAAAATATAAATGACAATATCATTTCAAAAAAACAGCATTTCTTACATAAAGATATTAATTTTATTAAATGAAAACTTATTTATATAAAAGATATATTTAATAGTCGCTATTGTTTATTCATTTACAATAATCTATAATTATTATTTTGGAACAAAATAATATTTCTAACTATATATTTCATAAAATTATTACCTCCAATAATGTTTCTTCAGGTAATTCTGGAGCAATAAATAACATATGACTATCAAGATTTTGAGGTGAGGTACCAAATGAAAGATAAGAATGACTAGGAGGCGTCGGATCAATTATTCCATTACATTTTGCACTTTGATAAACTTTTCCGCAGGAAGAATGTCTATTATCCCAAATTCCTCCTAACCAGCAATGTGAATGATAATGGCTGTAAGGAAGATTTACTGAAATTAAATAAAAGAATTATATTAAAATTTTATAATTTTTATCTTAGATTTAATATGTTTATAATCAAATAATATATTTTTAATATATAATATACATATATATCAAATTAATTATATTACTAATGAAAATACCTTTATATGAAATTAACATAAAATAGTATAACATAATAATTCATTTTGTATACTTACAATGGTATCCTCAATAGAACAAAGATATTCATTAAAAAGTTTAAATGAGCAGATAAGAATACACACAATAACTAGGAGGACACAGTACATAAACATATGAAATGTGCAAATGCATTATTAGAAGCTAAATTTTATTAAGACTAGCCCGTTTGACAACAGGATATTGTTTGTTGTTTAAAAATTTTAAATTAGAAGTAACATCAGTATTTATAGAAAAGTACTGCTTAGAATGGGAAAAATTTGGATTAGTAATCTAATATTTCTGAACTCAGTGTGACATTTCACATTTTTCAACTGGAATTACTAACAACATTATTCTAGAAATATTCAGACTATAATTTGGAATGTGATGAACAGTACATTTATAAAGATTTTTGATCATTTGATCATGATTGCCTTTAAAAAAATAGTCAACAGATTATTTAAGTGTGAGATCCCAAGCTTCAGTTTTTAGATTTTGTTAAAATATTTAACATTTAAAGATTGAATAAAAGAGAAATTTTAGAAAAAATAATCAGTCACGAAGTAGTCAGATAATGCTTCCTTTCACACAATCTCCGTCCAGTGAAAGTTAGTCACCTCTCAGGAAGAAAGAGAAGAAAAGATCTGATTAGTCAACAATTGAAGCTTCATCCCACATTGCCATTTTGGGTAGTGATATTAGTCAAGAACAGACCAAAAACTAAAAGGGACCAACCAAAGCTCATTCAGGTTGCCGCCATCTAGTTCATACAGTCATTGCAACTACCTTTTCAGGTTGTCACTTTTGTTGTGACCATAGTCCAGATCATCCAACTCAGGTTGTTGCCCTATTGTCATGGAAGATAGATCCATCAAGAGTGAGGCTCTACATCCACTTGCTTATTGACTAGGATTACAATGGACAGTTAATGAGAAAATGGAACTTTAAATTCATTGTTAGTGGAAGTGATTCATCCCAACTTTGAAAGAACTTCTCATCATTGAAGACATCGTGTAACTTACAGGTGCATGGCCATCTATGCATGTCCAATTATAAACCCCGCTCTCGAAAATCAGGTTCAGTTGTTAAGAAAGAAGTTAGTAATAGTATATTCAATATGAATAGTGTATGTTTGATAAGAATATTGTGTTAAAAGATTATTGTTAGAATTGTTAGAGATCTCAGAATTTATGTATGTATTATTTTCCTTATATATTTTCCTTGTATAATAATAACTAAATTTATTTGCATTTATACTTTATGTTTAGTATAAATATGGTGTTGAGAACTTCCTTCCAGACCACCCTGTCTCTCTAAATCTCCCTCCTCCATTCACCCACATTCATCCTAATACATGACTGCTTTATGTGAATTATGAAATTGCATAGGAAATATGAAAATCAGTGGTTTCTGTATTTGCCTTAAAATACAGCAGTGTCAGAAGCTTGATATGTGAAATGCTTGAAGTTCCCCTTAAGCATTGCAATTGCTATTGATTTGTTACATGATCTTTAAAATTCAAAACCATCTTAAATTGTTGTGTAATTAAGAGTATAGTTCTTTTTAAATATGTTAACTCCTAGCACCCAGACCAAATCTGGCCAACAAACATATTTGATAAATGTTAGAAATAAACTTATTTTAGTATATATGGAATAAATGAAATATTTGTGGTCCACCTACCAACAACTTATACACTATGTGAACCAACAATTAAACTTTCAGCACCCTGTGTTGGTACATCAGAAAATAAGATAATTTGAAATATAACCAGGATTAAAAATGTTTTGCATATGTGATTACAACTTGTACTCCTAAAATTTGTTAGCATTGTTCATATTAATGCAACTATAAAGTGTTTGTGCAAAATTTTGTTTCTTTTACATGTGGGAATCTAGAGACTGTTATTATATAAAATCTTGTAATGAAAGGACAGTTTAGAAACTTTCCCTTTTACCATCTGTGGGACAGACGTAATTGTGGATAAGTCACATCGACCTGCGAATTATTGCAGATAGATGAGAAAGTTGACACTTAACTTTCATCTAAGAAGGAAATATGAAACCTTCAAATCGACTTTGTTTAGTTTTAATCAGCCAGCTATGACACCTTTGACACGTCATTGCTATCAGGCAAACGGTCACCTGATTATTTATTTTTAATTGTCTACTTGGACATTACTCATTAATAGGACTTTATACTGGTGTTTAAAAAATCGACACAATAATGAGAGTTAGTTCAGAAAAAACAAATTTTCTTTATTATATCACCTGTAGTAGTAATTGATTAAATTCCCACATGGAATACTGATATAAGGCGAGAGGTTTTTGGAACCCATAAGTTATGGTTCATCCCTCCATAATCCTGGTGGACATACTTAGAAACCATATGCTCATCTAGACATATTGCCATAATTATAGTCCCAAAGGATTACCTATATTTTTGTAGTAATTTGTATAAGGGTCAATTTTCCCAGTCCTCTATGAATAATAGTCCAACAAGAAGTATGATAAAATAGATGTAAACTCTCTCTCTCTCTCTCATTTCAGTATAGGTACCCAGTCAAATTTAAAGTATAAGTGCTTGGATGGTTGATATCAAGCCGATCTTAATTGTACTATCAACCAAAGATTAATGGTGTATTTGTATATAGGCTTAGCATCTATGTACTCCTTGCTTTAGCTCATTAAGCTGTTTTACTACTTAAAGTGGGCCTTATTGGACTTCTGGCAATCGAAGATACCCTATCAACTTTCCCACAGTGCCTCCCCACTCAACAGTCAAACTAGCCTTCCTACTCAACATTTATTTATGATTCGTGAGTTAGGACGTAAACTTTTACTATCCTAACTGGTATCAGATCCTGATGTCGAAAGGATCTTGCAATCCCAATGACAATTTATAGAATAACCATCCAGTGACAACAGGGCCGGATTAACCCACTTTGGGGCCCTAGACATTTTCTTCTTACCGGGCCCCCTCGCTCACAAGAAATAGAGCACACAAAAAATATAAAACAATAAATAAAACAAAACTAAATAATGTGAAAAACTAAAACAAATCTTAAATTTTTATTAATAAAAAATATTTAATACACAACAATAAATTTTAGTTTTTCTAGAAAAGTTTGAACAATTTGTTTATAAATTTAAAAAATTGAAATTTGTTTTATTAAACGTCTAACAAAAGTTGTTGTACAATAACAATATTTACCTTAAAATATTAATTGTCAACAAGACTATGTGTTGTCTATAAAATCGTACTGCCTGCTGTGTTACCAGCTTAGAGGTATAAAGGTGTATATGTCAGGAGTTGCAATTTGGCACAGAGTATTAAATGCCCAAATCATGCGCGCATAAAAAAAAAAACACAGACTTGTAGGTACTCAGAGGACCCATACCGAGTCAAAGTAAAATACAAAATGGCGACTCTGTCTACAAACAGGCAAACCGAAGTCAGGTGGTGAGAGTAACACCCGCAGTCGTTCTAGGAAATGGACTCTGACTCTAGGACTGAACACGTAGTATTTTCTTTGTTAAATAAAATTTGTAATCTAATTTTGTAAATTTGGGAATGCTTCATATAACATTAATGTTATGTCGTTACATGTAGGTTTTTTAACGTTATCTAGTATACTAAAATCGTGNACCGATAAAAATTTGACATTATATTAGGGTTGTCGTTACATCCGATGACGTTATAATCGGGTTAAACTGTATATTGTTTGTGCAAAATAAAAAAATAATTTCGAACGATACAATAGCCACGATTATTTTTTTCAAAAACGGGAAATTCTCGTTAGGCATCGACAAAAATTCAACCCGGGCCGACGGGTTGCAACGGAGAGAAATTTCGAAATTGGATAGGTTAATTTCATCAAAAATGCATCGTGGACGATCTCGTAGTCGTGGCCGGCGAAGTTTGAACGATCGCGCCCAAAAGCAGCGATACCAAAGAAGATTGGATAATGAGAACGAGACCCGCCTTGAGCGTCAAAGTGATTCTGCTTAGTATTGTCTCCGAGACATAGTCGTGTCCCAAATACGGTTTTGCCGTTTTACTTGTTTAATTTAACCTTTTTGGTTAATATTTAAATAATATCATATTTTATCAGTTTTACCAGTATTATACAGTTGTCCAACAGAAAAGTAAACTATCTTATTTACAAATCTTTTCAAAATAGACAGTTTGACCGGGCCCTTTAAAAACCGGGCCCTAGACATTTGTCTGATTTGTCTATGCGATGATCCGGCCCTGAGTGACAACGTTAGCGATCTTCACCAGACCATCACCATTAAAAGGGGTTTAGAGATTGACTCTACCCCCAGCTTCTCACATACATATTATATAATTAGGTTATTTTCAAAAATAAAAAAACAAACCTTCTGAGGACCCTGTCACAGATTTTAATTTTCCAGCACTACCACGTCTTTGAAGATCCAATTCTGTGTTTTCTGAGGTATCTTTAATACTTTCTTCTGGAAAATTAAAAAAAATTAATTATAAATTCTGTGAAATTTATTATTATTATTATAGATAAGAGATAACATACTTTTCCAAGAATCTTTATTAGTAATTTCAGGTAAAGTCATTGTCCTTCCATTAAATGACATATGAAATGAATAAGATAAAGAATTCACATTTTTTTGTGTGTCTAAGCCATTTAACACAGTTTCAGTTTTATATTGCAAATCTAAAAGATTTGGATCATCTTTAATAAATTCTTTGTTTGGAGACCCAATAACTGGTGAAAGTGGATTACCTACATAATGTATTTTACATTTTTAAGCATTTTACATTCACTAAATTTCATCTAAATTTCAAATTCTAATTTTAAAAATAAAATGTTTTAATTAAATGATTTCACCTGATGGCATAATAGTTTGACGCCAAGAGGGATTTGAAAATCTGGAAACATATGATGGAATAGTTCCTCTTCTTTGCCCTCCACCTGGAGGTGTGCCAATAGCAAACTGAACTATATAAAATTAATTAGTACATTTTGATAAATTTGAGGAAAAGCATTAAAAATATATGAAATTTCTTATCAATTTTAATTTTCATATCATTGTTTATTATTTTTTTACATTAATAAACAATGAGAACCAATCATTTGCTACAGATTTTCAATTAATTAAAATTTCTTTGAAATTTAAAATATGAATGCTATATACTATCTCAAAGTTATGTATTAAACAATAATAATAATAATTGACAGCAATAAAATATATAACTAAATGATCTATTTATAATTCATTAATTAGTAATATTAGAAATAATACTTAATATTAATTTCAAAGCATTTTCTATGGAAACAGAAATATCATCATATAATTAGTAATTTTCTATTCTGTTCAAGAGTAAATACAAAAATTAACAAATATTATGTAATATTTTAATTTTATAAGTTATATTTCATATGTTTTCGTTTAAAAAAAGTAAACTATTATATATAAAATGTATAGGGTTGAACCGAAAGTTCATTCAATTTTACAGAGAAATAAAATATTCTATTTATGAATTAAAAGTTATTTATTTATTTATTCCAAATGTATTCAATCTGTTGTTTGATAACCTTACACCATCTGTGTCAAATAGGGTGAGTTTTTGATTGAAGAAATTATCAATGTGATTTTTGATACTTTCTAAAGATTGAAATTCTATACTGTTTAAATTATTCCGCAACAAATGAAAAAGATGATAATCTGAGGGAACTATATCCAAAGAATATGGAGGGTGACTCAAACATCCTAGTTAAAGTCTAGAAGTTTTTGATGCACGTTCAATGATATGTGCAGTCTTGTATTATCATGATGCAATATCACTCCCTGTCAATTTGCAAGTTATGGACATTTTTGATGCACTGCAGCCTTCAATTTATCCTGTTGGAAACAATATTTATTGGAATTGTTTGTTTGTTGCGTAAAAGCTTGTCATAAAGAACCTCTTTCCAATCCAACCAAACTGAAATCATTACTTTTCTGGAATGCGAACCATCCTTAGGATGCAGCACTGGTGGATCATCTTCATTGCATTTTAAAAGTGAAACAGAAACACACTCAATAAGGTTTCATTCACTTAACTGATGGGAAGTATATCCAAGGCTAGCCAAATGTCTGACAATGGATATTTGGGATATTTTTAAGGTGTCAACTATCTCTTGTGTTGTTCTATGCTGATCATTTTGGATTAAAGCTACTATGGACTTATCTTCAAGAGAAAAATCTCCTGCCCTAAATTTAGCAAACTATAGTAGAGCATTGATTATCCGAAACAATTCAGGACTGGGGTTGTTCAGATAACTGATCATGTACGAAAAAATATATTAACCTATCCCATGTTGAAATTTTTCTCCATTGTGTGTCGTTTCGTGTTAAATTTTTGTCAATGTTAAGCTTAACAAAAATTTTTTAAAAATAATAATCATGGCTATTGTATCGTTAAAAATTATGTATTTATTTTGTTCATACAAAATAAAGATATATAATTTTTTTTTGTTTTTATATTTTTAAATATATATTTCAGAAGTTAATCTAGTATCAAAAACATTCCAACTCAGCACGACAGACGTCCCAACAACACAGTCCTCAGAAAAACACCACACAAAACAAGCAAAATCTTTTTTTCTTGGGTTTGTCTGGAGATGTCAGCTGCTTGGGCTATATTCTCCAACGAGCTAAAGCAAAATACACCACTCACAATGGAGGAAAAGAAGTCTCATTCAAATACTGGCACGTCCTTAAGTACTCTCTTGACATGTGTCATGCTGAATCAGAATGTTTTGATACTAGATTAACTTCCAAAATATAATTTTTTTGTTTTATATTTTTCAATATATTTATTTTGTTTGTGCAAAATAAAGAAATAATTTTTAACGATACAATATGGTTGCACCTGTGCTGCCAGCTAAAACACACACACCAACAAAAATAATATCAGAGTAGCCAAAGACATAGCCAAATATTGCAGCACCACAACATGGAAATTTGAATTTGCTGACTGGATCGTTTTCAGTTAACTGATGTTTCAGTTGATTGGTATTCGGATAATCTATGCTCTACTTTATTTCTGGCATATTCGATCAATAACTGCATCCTCCCCATATACAGTGTACATCATCTTTTGGGTTTTTGGTTGCATTTTAACCATTTTGGAAATAACAGAACATGAGATGTCAAAAATGCACCTTCTTCTTTTCTTTTTTTGTTTTTTTTTTTTCTTAAAAAATAACTGTAACTAGACTTACATATTAAATATGAAAATATCCTTAATGCTGACCTAAACTACTTAAAACTTGGTAAGCCTGAGAGGTGACACAAACAAGCAATTATGTAAATACCCAAACAAACTTTTGTTTCAACCCTATATTTACCAGTAAATATAATTTTTTGGAAATATGTACAACTCAACAAGGCTGATTTCATGACAAAGCCAGAATTTTGGAATCCAATCTAAGGGCTGAAATATCTGAGGTTAAAGTTTGTCATGTAAGTCTATGGGTCAAATGCCAGTTGTTAGCTGGTTACACACTACATGTCAATTGAATTTTCAATTGTTGTCAATTTACATTGATCTCAATAACAATTTTTTATTTTGATCTTTACAATGGGCATTTAACATGAATTACCTAGTTTAAATAGGTGCATGCATACAACTGGTTAAAACAGATGCACATGCATGTGTTAACCAGTTGCTGGAATTGGTAGGCCACTACTTACATGAATGTCTTACATGTTTCTTGATGTTTTCATTGGCTATGATGATAGATATTCTGTCTAAAACAGTTTTTGGGGAGGATGCATGTCACCACATATTGTATGAAGCCGATACAGTAAGACCTATGTTACAGAGCTCAGTTTCATTTTCCTAGAAAATACCTAGTTACTTTTTAATGTTAGTTCTCCAAAAATATACTATTGAAGCATAGCATTAACTTTCTTATAGATAACACTGGCCAACAAATATTTTCAAAATCTCAGTTGGATGAGACTTTTTCACTGATTCTCAATAATTTGGGCATGCTGATTTCAAATCTGCAAACAGTTTTTTCTCCATGCTCTAGTTTTCATACAATTCAAACTTTTGCATTCCATCACTTTATGTTCATGTTATCAGAATGGTATATGATAAAGTTGTGTAGATATGAAAATTGATTCTTTTTCAGATCCAATCATGGCTACAAGGAGACATTCACGTACAAACAACCCAGACAGTTTCTGTTACATTTGTGGATACTTCACTCTTTTTCGACAAAGGTATAATATAACTTCCTTTGTGAGACGAACTTTCGGAATTCCCATGACCTGAAGATCACGGAAGAGCACTACCAAGGGAGATGGGACAAGCATATGATAGCAAATTACTGCTGGAGCATTAAACAGGATTGCCCTGAAATAGATCACAAATGCAAGAGCGTGAAACACAAATTTCTGCCTTGATCGTATGCACTTGCGTTTAGCCTCCAGTATAGGACAGAATGTGTTATGTAGCAAATCGATGTCTGTCTGTGTTTCCATTTTTTACCACTACAGACATGCACACTATTTTGAAACTTTACATTTATTAATTAGTAATACAAACTATCTTAAAATTAGCTAAAGACATTTAGACTATGTTGAAATTTAATTTTTATTGCTCAGTTCATTTTGAGAGTGTTTCATCATATATATATATATCCATATACACAAAGAGGTCAATGAGTTAAATATGAAAAATTGAAATTTTGACATTTATTGATTGCAAAAACACCAGAGCTTTCTGGAAAAAACGAATTATCTGAATTCAGTGCCCCCAAATTAGTTAAGAACAGGTGTTGATAGATATTCAATGAAAAATTTGTTGGCTAGTATAATTACTTGATGGTAGCTGGTGATTCATATGCATATTACAAAATTTTTTATAGAAAGGATTTTATTTTATGGAAAATTTACTTTTAAAATTGCTCTAATTTTAAGGATAAGTGAAAATTTTCAGATTCAATATTCTATTGGAAACTTCTATGGATTTCATCTTAGAATTCTACTTATTCAACCAAACTTAAAACTCTACACAGAATAATGCTTAATCCATTTCAATAAAAAAGTAATTGAAGTACATTCATAATTACAATGATGTTTTTATATATTTTTTGTGATAAAAACAAATAATATTTATAGTCAATTTACTTTGAACTAAGTTTACTCATCTGCAGTTTAGTACAAATAGATACAGCTGTTATTATCTCTGTCCATTCCTAAATTTATACTATCTTTCAATTATTATTTTAAAATTTTTTATTCATAAATATACTTACCACTAGGAGGTGTTAAACTACTAACATCTGTTGTAATTTTTATTGATTCATTAGATTTTGAAGATGTACTGGATACAGAGTGCAAAAGTGGAGGCTTTAAAAACAAAAAAATTAAATTAATCATGCAATAGAATATATAATTCATCAAAATCTCAAGATTTTAAACCTGTTTAATGCTCACATTATAATAAGAGTTTATCAATAATTTGAAAATAATTTGTTTTGTCAATTTTTATTTTTTTAAAACTTAACAGAAAAAATAAAATAATATTAAAAATATCACTTAGAAATATTTTTGATATAAAATATTTCTAATATTTAAATATTATATTCTTTTTTCAATGTAATTTTTTTATATGCAAGTCCATTTAAAAATTTTTTAAATCTAATAAAGTTCCCTTAGATTTAAGTCAAGAAATGGAAAAACAAAAGGAAAAACAATTTTATAAAATATGAATAGAAGTTATACTTAAGTATAATACATTTAATTAAAACAATGATAAATATATATATAAATCATAACTGCTAAATAATTATAATTTTATAGAGGAAATATCAATACATTGTAAATCTATCTGAATTCAAAAATTATCCATTTAACTATTAACAGAATTGTATTCATTATATATATATGTATATTATTGAAAGTTACATTATTGATAAGATCCAAGCTTTAACCTTTATTGATATTACAAAAAAAAGTTTAACTTTACAGATAAAAATTTTATATCTATAGCACTGAATATATATACACAACCATTTGTCACATAGGAATATGTTCAGTTTATTGTCTAATACAGTGAGTTATTTCATTGACTCCTAAAGATAAAAATTAAATGTCTTTGCTGCTCCAATTGGACAAGCAAATTGTAAAATATCTGGCAAAAAGATCATTAGAAGAGCAGTTTGAAAAAAGAAAACAGTTTGTTTGGAGCAGTTCAAAAGAATTGGAAATAAGGACCCAAGAATTACAGAGAGACAAAAGAAGTCTTAGGAAATGACACCATCTGGTTATACCAGATCAAGTGAAGGTACCTAAAATTCAACTGCAACTTGTCTTTCTCTCCACAGGATAGTAATACAGTAACCAAAATGTCTATTATACAAATGTGTGATGATAAATAATTTTTTTCATTTAACTCTTGACTATAGTCACTCTTTATCTGAATCCATACAATGCAACAGGTAATTCACCAAGATGCATTAGAAATTTTAGTAAGGTTGAAGAATTGGCCACTGCTTGGATTGAGATCACTCATCGACAAAAGTAAAATAAATAAACCAAAAATGGATCTCATGTTTATATACAGGGTCCATTCCCTGACCAATTATGACATTTTTCCCTGACTTATTAATGTCTCTGCATTTCCCCTTTCCATTATGTAATATTCAGCCAAGTTTATTTAAGACCATTTTGCACACATTTATAAAATTTTTTATTATTAAAAAACACTTTATTCACTTATAAAAAACAAAAAACTTGGTGTAAAATTGATTATGTAATTAGTTATATCATCATAATTGAAGTTTAGACTATTTACAAAAAAATATCAAATTTTTGAGTCTATCTTAATCCTTTTTTACAACTATTTAGTTATCATTTCTATATCAAATAAAATGTACAAATTAAATTAATCATGAAATTCTTTTATATAAGTAAGAAAAAGACTCATGTCATCGTGTCATAAAATTGAATTTTCTTAAAGTCCTCACTTTAAGAAAATTCAAAATAATTTAATAATTCAGACGAGAAATTCAAAATAATTTAAACAGAAGAAATTGTGCACTCCACGAGAAGGAGAAATCACTTATTGTGTGCTATTTTTAGTTCAGCATGGACCCTTTCAAGGTCATTACATTTCTTCCCATCCCTCCCCAAAACTTAATGGGAGTGGCAAAGTTTTGGCAGAAAAGCAGGTAATTGTTGATAGTGTTTTTGAAAATCCAACTAATTCTGTGGCCCATGGAATTTTGGTCTACCTCCAAAATTCCATGGGCCATCTGAAGATAAAAATTTGCAGTTAGAGAGAAGACATCACAGATAATAATCCTACTAATTTTGATGGATTGATGCTCTCCATACTGCATATGGCCAGTAGCACAGAATACAACAAATAAAAATACATGAATTGCATGAGGTTTGCCAAGTGTTTCAAAATGTCCCATACACAATTGTGAGATCTGGAATTTATTAACTAAAATTTTAATTATCTTTTTCCTTATGCTTATGTAATGAATTGGAAGAAAAAAAAAACAATCTTAGCCGGGAATGTGTAAACCTTCCTGTTATAACCATCAACATTCTATTGGCCTCACATAACTTGCAGCTTGTCTTGCACAAAAGTTTATAGTTAGCATCCAAAATTCGTCACTTGTTTAGGTCCCTGGACCACCTGTAACCTTTAGCTCATAGACCATTCAATCACGTGATGGAAATTCCCCACAAAAAGCTATAAAAGACCGTTCCTACCCCTCTCGGGGGAGTCTCTTAATTAACGAAAGCTGGACCAACAACATCGTGCCGATTCTTCGAACCTGCCAACATTCTGATCTACAAACATTATTATCTGATCATCACCAAAGTCGCGAACTTTTTATAATTGTACTCATTTGGATTAAAACCACCTTTTATTGAACAATTAAGGGCCTACATGGACTTACTTGCCTAGGAACCATACAAAGAGGTATGAAAAAGTGTGTAAACTCTCTCTCGAGCTGTTAGGCGGTTTATAACGAGATTTGTGTAGTCTTTTTGTCGATTTTGTTTATTTCAATAAATTCTTATTTTTACTTGTTAAAATGGTAGACTCCTTTACTTGTTTATGTCCTTCACCTTATTGTCGACCCCAAATACTCTCCCTCCACTCGCCTGACATTTGAGCGTCCCCAACCCTAGGGACCAGCAATAAGAAAAACTTTAGCCATCTTGACAAGTGAGCAGGTTTAACAACCTGTCAACAGAAAGGGAGACCTACGACCTCCCCGGCGGTTCACACAATATTGTTAAGCCAACTGACAATTCTTTGCCTTCCCAGGGCATCAACTGACTAATGAACTAACTAAGCATCAAGCAGGTCAAAAAAATTAGGAGGGTTGTGTACAAGACACAATTACAATTGTTTAAGGTGTGAATCCATCTCTACATTATTAGAGGAAGGATAAGATGTAAATGAATAAAGTCTTGGTGGTTATCATATTTCAAATCAATATCTATCAGTTCGGGTGGCAGCGCATTCAAAATATTTGCATCGGAGTTGACATGCTTGCTTTTCTCATGCTCTCTACACAATCTGCACCATTCAGCATTAGTCATTTTCAGCTTTTCTGATTCCTTTTCAATTTTTCTTTCCAATGATATACATTTCTTACATTTCTGTTCATACAGTTGACCCCCCTATAACGTGCGTTCCTATAACGACAATTCCTATAACGTAGCAAAAAAATTGTAGCAACATTCGTATAAAGCAGCTCCTAAAACGTCTTCGCCGACTCATTTCGCGACAAGATTGATAGAGTCTGGACCAATAGTGGATGAGCAGCCGAACTACTTTCCTCCGCCCTGCGCCACGCTACGGAGCGGCTAAATTGAGTTTGCTATCGTCTGTACAGTATTATATATAAATTAGGTATAAATTAGGTACTGTACATATAATTATATATTAATTATATATAAATTAGGTACTGTATATATAA